CACCATGCCCGGCTAATTTTTTTTTTCTATATATTTTTAGTTGTCCAATTAATTTCTTTCTATTTTTAGTAGAGACGGGGTCTCGCTCTTGCTCAGACTGGTCTTGAACTCCTGAGCTCAAGCGATCCTCCCTCCTCGGCCTCCCAGAGAGCTAGGATTACAGGCGTGAGCCACCGCGCCCGGCCTGTGACTCCTTCAACACGCGAACCGAGCGAGGGACGTCCACGCACCTTGGTGGGGGCAGACATCCGCTCCACGTTCAGGAACACGGACGTGATCTCGGGGGACCCTCGGATCTTTTCTAACAGAAAGAGAAGGTCCGGTCAGAGGCTGATCCTTGCGCACGTGTGCCGGGACTGGTCCCGTGGAGGCATTCGCGGACGTGCCTTCGTGGGCCGTGTTCACCCATATCCCCGACTTCCCAGGCACGCGATCCGGGAGGGCAGTGGGGGACGGGGTCACCTTCAAGGGTGCACATCTGACACGCACACGCACGGTGAACACATCTGGGGGGAGTAGGTGCATCTGAGGATCAGGTGGGGAAGCAGCAGACCCCCTACCTGGGAAGCGTGTGGGGCCGTCCTCACTCCGCGCTGTGAGCGGGACGCCGGGAACCTGAGAGTGGGGGTCCCACGCAGGACCCCACCCCAAGGTACTGAGAGTGGGGGGTGGGCTTCCCAGAGGCGGCCGCCAGGGCAGGCGGAGCTGCGGCAGGCCCACCTTCCCCGCCGACCTGCTGGGCCCTTCCCCACCCCGTGAAGGCGCAGCCTCACTGCTCGCCCACCGCATAGACGCCCGGCCCGAGCTCCCCTGCGCAACCTGTGCCCGCCACCGCCTCCCGCCAGCCCCGACAGAGCCCCATCCTTGCGGCTCCCTGGGCTGGGTTCTCTTGGTCGCAGACACGGAAGACAGCAGAGGGAGACGCAGGTCTGCGTGGACTCACCTGTCAGGTGCTCCAGGTTCCCTTTGCCGAAGACAAGCTTGCTGCCGGGCGTCTTGGTGGACACGACCATGGTCTGCACCACGGACCAGCCCGCCAGCGTGTGGACCAGCGCCGTGGCCTCCGCCACCTGCCACTCGGCTGTGGGGACACACAGGCAACCGTGAGGACACCGCCCTCGGGGTTGGCCCTGGGCCCCGCCGCGCCTGCTCTGCCGCCCCGTTGGCGGCCTCCTGCCCTGCCACGACCCTCTCTGACAGGGCGCCGGACCCAGCATTTGTTCCCCACACCACAGAGCTCCTCCCACGAGGTCCCCGGGTACGAAGATGAAGGGGATGGGTACACAGGCGGGGGCGGGAGGAAGGAAGCCGCAGCCACGGCGGGATGCGAGGTCCATCCTGCCGCAGATGGATCAGGGATCCGGGTGGGTCTGGCGGGAGCTGGGGACGCATTAGTGAGGAGTCCTGGGGCGTCACGATGGGGTCCATGTACCTGTTTGCCTGCACAGAACCCAATAGGATGACCTGCCAGAAGGTTCCACAAGGGCTGGGGAAGGCAGCCCCCAGATGGGCAGGAAGGGTGAACAGAGCTCAGCAAGGGCTGAAGCTGGAGTCACTGGGGCGTCCCCGTCCTCTCCCCCATGGGGGGACACAAAGCTCGGATTTGACTCCTGGTGGGCCCCACTGTCTTCCTGAAACCTCACGCCCAGCCCATCAGCAAGCCCCGCAGGTGCCTGCACCCCTCCTCCTCCCCGGGTCAAAGCACGGATCAACCGTGAGGTGCTGCGCGGCTTCTGCGGCCCCCGAGCTCCCCAGCTCCCCCACACAGCTGCCAGGCTGGGGATCTGCCCCCAAGACCACGTTGGACCCCACAAATTCCACCCCCAGGTGTCCTCCCCGGGAACTGCAGGCACGCGTCCACCAGAAAGCCTGCTCACGTGTGTTCACAACAGCCGAGAGGCAGAAACAACCAAGTGTCAGTCCAGGAATGCACGGATAAACAGCGTGGTCCACCCACACGTGGAAAATTACCTGGCCATGAAAAGGAACGAAGCTGACACACACAACCACGTGCATGGACCTGGAAGACAGGGTGCCCCGTGACAGAGGCCAGACAGCAAAGGACGAGTAGTGTGTGACTCAGTTCTACGAAACGTGCAGGACAGGCAAACCACAGACACACAAAGTGGGTCAGGGGTCGCCAGGGGCTGGGGAGGGGCTGCTGATGGGGACGGGTCTCCTTTTGGGGGGACGGGAATGTTTTGGAACAAGACAGCGCCCCAGACATGTGTCCCTCCTGCCCCAGGGCCTCTCTTCCCCAGGCGACCCTGGCCCACCGTGGAGGCCTGCCCCCGCCTTCCTAACTCCCCACTTCCCGTCCCTGCCCTGCAGGTGGGCGGGTGTCTGCTGCACCCCTCGGCCTCCAAGGGTGCGCGCGCGGCGTGGGTGGCAGAGCGCCTGCTGAATGCGCGGAGGATGAGAGGACGGACGTGCCAGTCAGACAGCTCCTCATCACACGGCTGGGAGTCTGTGGCTTTTACGCTAACAGGAGTGACGAACGTGTCTCTGTACTTGTCTCTACACGTTTAGGGTCCAGAATTCCAGAAGTGGCCGTGTGGGTGGACGACTGAGAGGCCCCGACACAGGCCGTCTGGACAGCAGTGAGGGCTGGGTTTTCGGTTGTCTCGGGGTCTTTCACACACGGGGAGAAGGGAACGGCAGCCCAGGAGGGACAGGGGAGCAGGACGGGTGAACTAGAGGGCGGCAGGACCTGCACGGTGACAGCGATGACCAGGGGGTGACAGTGATGACCAGGGGACAGTAGGACCTCCAGGGTGACAGCGATGACCAGGGGGTGGCAGTGATGACTAGGGGT